CTCTATCTATATCTATATATATAGAGAGAGAGAGAGATAGTATATAGATATATAGTTCAGTCATGAAACTACAAAATTTCCTCTAGGAGATAAAGTTACTAACTAACTATAAAACTATAGATGGAGGCTGACGGGTTGTTAACGTAACTGATGATATTCAGAGAGTTGGACGACTTGGCACAAGCTGATTGGTTCATGCTGCATATGCAGCCAATGAGCTTACTGCCTTGCATTTAAATGGCTGGCTAGCATTCACTTGAGATTCTTGCAGCGCACTTTCAGAGTTTCTCTAAAACTCAACAGTTAGATAAGTAAACGGTCTTCACTCTGATTTCAGTGCATTTTTTGCGTTCGTCAGATTTACTTTTTTAAACTAGAAAACAGTTGTAAAGTTGTAAAGCTACGCGCAGGTTATTCGCGAGAGGAGTAATTACTAAGCATGTCTTGTTCATATAACAGCAGTAGCATTAGCAGCAGCAAGCGGTTTTTCTAGTTCATGTATGTGAGAATACAACGTCAAGCGCCGTGGATTTTAGAACAGTAAAGTGAATTGGGGATTACTTTATATGCCCGAAATCTCCAATGCTTTTAATATCTTCTGTGGGCATTCATTTCTACATCAACCACAAACGGATGCACACCTCACTACACTCTAAAAAATGCTGGGTTAAATATAACCCAGCGCTGGGATGTTTTGAACCCAACCGCTGGGTCAAAACAACCCAATAGTTGGGTTAAAACAACCCAATAGCTGGGTTTGTCCCTTTTTAACCCAGCATTTTTTAGAGTGTAGTGGGGCCGGTTTGCAGTTGGTGTTTCACAGTTGTTCACAGGTGAACCCATATAACTGTCTTTCATAAACCTCATATTGTCAACAGCCTTACCTATTTAACCATAACAACTTAATGAGCAACAGAGAATAATGTACCCACTCATACGTTTACTCGTGCCGCATTGCAATGCACTTCAGAAGAGGGAGCGCTCACTCTTAAAGGGGCCACATCTCTATTTAACTCATTACCTTGGTTCAGTGATAGTGAAGAGTTTATTATGAAAGTCATGTTTAGTGATAGTTTAAATATAATTAATCATGAATTTGTTTAAAATATAATATTACTACTAATAATAAATCATTTCCAATCAGTAGCCCATGTACAATGTAGCTAATAGTAGGACACTCTTAAACTAGAATTTACTATTTGTGTATTCAGTTGGGCTTACAGCAATTGTAGTACGTTCATGGAGTGTAGCAGCAGTATCATAGAATTCAGATTGCGTTATTAGAGAATTGTTAATAGCAGTATGCATAGGAAATCAAGTCAAACTATTAATTATAATACAAATTATAAATTGTTTATAGCAGCGGCAGCAGAAAGTATCTGGTTGCATGAAATTTCAGTGATAACACATGGGGTAAGTAACTCTTAAAAATTTTAATAGGCTTTTATTACTTTATTTATAACAGGGCGTACAGAGATTTTGTGAACTCTTCAAAGCGAAATAGGCATTATTTGTTTGCGTTTCCTTGTTTAATAAAGACGCTTATAGTAATTCTAAGTACTTTCGTACAGCTGTA